AATCAACAAAAAATATGTGCACAATATTTTTTTATTACTCCAAGGTCAAATAAAGTCCGTTAAAAATGAACTAAATAATTGCCAAAAAAAAAAGAACGACATTGTCATCAGATTGACATAAATATATTTTTTTCCCGAATAATAAAAACATTGTCTATACACATTACAAGATATAATAAAAAAAAAGCAAAACAAAAAGTACAATAATCTTTGTTCGAAACTTATCATGTGATTAAAAATAACATAGACCGAAATTCGTTATATGTGTGTCTTTCGCCGAAAAGTTTCATTTGCTTTTGTTTATACTCAATTAAATTAAAAAAGAATGGATAAGAGAAATCAAATGAAAGAAAAACATTTGTCCTGTATAAGAAAAATAAAAAAAGCTAGTTTCAAATGAAATTTTATTCATTACATGTAAAACGAATCAATGAAAAAAGCTACACATTCAGTTAAAGTTGGTGCAGTTCGACGAGTATCTATAGCTTCACATCCAAATGAATATGAATTCACCTCTGAGATTGAACCAAATTCAAATGATCAGTTAACTAAAAAGCAGGTTCGTCAGTTTTCGAAAGTATATAACAGACGGAATGTAACGATAAGATCAGTTTAACATGAAAATCGTTTATTATACTACTGTTTTTCTATACTGAAGAAATTATATTCTGATTGTATTGATATATATATAGCAGAGTTATTATAAGAAGAAGTTGTTCGTTATGTATTTTTATCTTTTTCAGAGTTTGTAATGGTCAATATGTCCCTAGAATAACACTGTTTTGCTTCTATCAAAACGAATAAAATTTTCATGAATGTTTGATGTAACTGAGATTAATTCATAATGGATATCTCGAAATATTTGCACAGAGGTAAGAGTTTTCAAAGACGAAAAAATAAATTTCGGTAACGTTCGGTCACTTCAAAAACATAACTTTCATCAATTTTATTTTTTGATGTTTATACCAATGTTGTATTTTATTTGGATTAATGAAAATTGAGTCCAATGTCTCTTGAATAATAACTTATGTGTTACTCTTCAATACGTATATTCAATAGCCACTATCCACATGTTACAGTCAACACACAAATCTGAAAACCACTCGAAAGTTATGACAATGAAAATAATTTTCTTAATTATTGACAATATATTTGTCACGATAGATAGACGTAGAGTCCTTATATGGTGATAGTCTAAGCTTGATTGTACAAAATCAATGTAAAGCTAAGTGATACTAATTCTAATTAGTTGAGAAAAAGTGTACTGCTTGTACTATCATATATTTCATTATTGATTAATTTTAATTCAAATTGAGAAAAATAAATAAAACTGATATTCTAGGTTGCTTATACAGCAACTACAAGAAGTCTTATTAATGAGTAAAAAGTAACATAAACTTCAATCTTACTGTCTGATATTTTGATTAGAAATAGAATTCGATAAGCTTTAATGTAAAGAATTTAAAATGAACTGGAGATATCTATATATAAGTCCTTCTTCAATCATTCGCAACATCTCTCATGTTGAGATTACTCAAAAATGACTTCAGAAATTGAATAAACTAAAACAGTTTGACATAGAATTTTTATTGATCAAAGAAAGATCTATGTTGATCTTCTAGTTTCTCTTCATCAAAAGCGATCAAGTTCTAATTAATCCTTGTAATCAAAGTTGAACATTGTTCTATATTTGATCAAATTATTAGATTACAGAATTTCAATGTTAGCTAGTTTTTATCCCCTAGTAGCAGAATTTCTTTCGACTACTATCTTCAAAGTTGATTTATTTTCTCAGAACTTCATTATTAATTAATGTCATTTTAGCTTTTTGACAGACGAATTAGTAAAAGTGCTGTTCCTCAACCTGAAGTTCATAAAAAAAAATATATTTCTACACTTGAAACACCTAAAAATGTTCGTCTACAATATATTACAGATACAACTAATGATAATCAACATCATTCAAAAGTAAGTTAAATACATATTATATTTAAAGTCATTTATTTTGAAACTCTAATTAACATTTAATGATTTGTCTTTCTTAGAATTCCAGTCCACCATCACCTTCATTATCTCAACATCCACAACAATATATGACAACAGCTCAAGAACACACAGCAGCAATAAACAAACTTCATCAAATACCTACTATATCAAAGTAATATACTTTTTTTTCTATGCAATAATTCTATTCATTTATTTTATCGATGGTCAACAAGAAAGAAAGTTTTAGTGGGCATTTCAGCATCTTTGATAATTGCTACTATTATTACTGTTCCGACTGTTCTTGGTATTTTACTTACAAAATCAAAAGGTAAATTTTATATAATATAAAACTTATTCTTAAACTCTATCTTAGTTGTCTGTTATTATTCATAAGCTAAAAATTCTTGTATAATATTTAATATTCTAAGGGTAGTATGTAAATAAATAAAACAAAAAGTAAACTTCTTGTAATGGCTAGATTTTATCAATGAGTGATTGATGTATCCGATATTTTTTTATAATAGAATCAACAAGTACAATAACAACTACTGCATCTACCGTGAATGTTTCTGCATATTGGAGTTTTGATAATACAGCAGCAGATTCATATGGTGTTTATAATGGTCAACTAACAAATAGTCCATCATATTCTGCTTCTGGGTCGAATAGTTTCCCATATGTAGGACATGGTCAAGCACTTAACTTTAATTCAGCATCAAGTCAATCAGTTTTAGTTTCGACTCCATTTTTCAATTTAAGTTATACAAGTTTTACAATTGAAGCTTGGATTTATTATTCAACATCTACCTCTGATCGTGGAATATTTGGTCAATGTCAATGTTCAACTTGTGCTAATCAATGTTTATATTTAATTATGCGAAATAATCGCTTGTACGTTGATTTCATATCGAATTATTTGTCTGGTTCGACGGCTATTTCAACTACTTATTGGTATCATATTGCATTTGTTTATAATTATGAAACACGACAACAAATATTATATCTCAATGGAGTTCAAGATGCTATCAAATCAAGTGCACAACCTTATCAAGGACAAAATGGAAGTATCAATATTGGTTCATCTCGAGCTTATTCGACCACATACTATTATCAGAGCTATATTGATAATGTAGCATTGACAACAAGAGCAAAATCTTCAGTAGAAATTTTACGTGATGCATCTTTAATGGCTTACTATTCATTTGATTCACCTAATCCAACTGTTGACAATGGTCCGAATGGATTAGATGGAACATCGAATAATATAGTTACAGCTACTGGACGTGTGAATGAAGCAATGCGTTTTCTTGGATCATCATCATCCTATTTTCGAGCTTATGGTTTTTATCAAATGTTTTATGGCGTTGTTAGTCTCAAACCATTTTCAATGGCTATGTGGATAAATCCATCATCAATCAGTAATATCGCAATTATTCAAATTTTTTCGTCAAGTATGAGTTCATGTTACATTTTACTTGGTATTTCGTCATCAAATTCATTAACGGGACAGTTGTTTGTATACAATACTGGTTCTACTGCATGGTTGACTGGTCCATTTGTAACACAAAATACATGGACACACATTTCATTGACATATAGTTCAGGAAATGGATACACATTGTATGTTGATGGAGTTCTTTTTGGTTCAACTGGCACTGCATCATACCCATGGAGCGGTACTTTTGCATATCTTTTCATAGGTTATCCGGCTAGTTGTTCAGGTTCTGCAAATGGATATTATCAGGGTTACGTTGATGAACTTTATATTTACAACCGAGAACTATCACAAACAGACGTTACTAGTCTTGCTAATCCATGAACTATTACTAATTTGATAAAGACATTATATTAGATTACTCTGTTTTATCCTCTAAAAAACTATAATTTTTCATAATATTGCTTGTCTTATAGTTAGAACTAAGCGTGTCATGTTTTTTCTATATTTTTTCAAATATCAATAAAATCTTATAACTAGATATGATATTTAATATAATCGATGAGTAACAGGTGATGTAAAAGTTTCTGTATGAATATCGATTCATTTTTTATCAGCTAAAACATGTGCAGACAAGCTCGAAACTACCTGTATAGAATTTATGTCAAATACTTTTTGTAATTGTATGTTCAGAAAATTTCAATCATGTTTTATCTTTCATTAGGTAGTATATTTTTGCACGACACTAAAATATGATCTGTATTAGGAATTAAATACGGCAGAAGATATCGATTCTACAATGTCTGTAAATTTTTTTAGGTTCATTTCATGAGATGTTATTTATCTTTTCTCTATCAGATTAATGTTTCCATTCTCAACATTTCATTCAATAATGTTGAGAAAGCTCACTATAGAACATATATTCTTAGAAAGAGTATCTCAGATCATTCATAATTATCATTTCAACTGGTTTTATAAAACACATATTTGTAATACTTGAAACTTGAATTCAATTATTCAACTATTGAAATTTTAACTTCTCAAATGTTCTGTGGATATTCAGTAGGAATGCGCTTTTTCCCATCTAACACACCTTTTATTTCAGCGTCGCGACCTATGCACGTCTCTGTGTACACCATTATTTTTACTCAGTGCTGCACAGCAGCTCAAGCTTCTCAATACTTCTTGTAACATCTCAGGTAATGCCTGTAGCATTCTAGGTGATGCTTGTAATATTTTATCTAGTACTGACAGAATTTTAGAGAACTGTATAGCATAACAGGTGAAGCTAGTAGCATCCCATACAATATCTGTCGATGTCAGGGGGAATTCTGGTAGAATTTCAGGCGTTGACTAATTGAAAATTTGAATACTTAAATAACTGGATAGTTGCAAACTTGAATACTTGAATTCAGCTTTCAAGTTTGACACTGCTGTATTTTTGATACCTAGTTGAACTTGATTGTGATCAAAGAGTCCAGTATAAGACGAAGTTATGTAGGAACGTAAATATCGTTAATCTATTCTTCTCTTAGGATTGCTATATTTTATTTTTGCAGTTAACTAATAACTTATGTAACTTATTCTCGCTCCCTTAAGAAATAGTAATCAGTCAGATGTTATGAACTGTAACTCTTCAATTGTGTTGCAATTTTGCATTTTATAATTCTCTCGGTTTTACATCAATCGATCGGGCCAATCGAATATCAATCGAGTGAGAGATCAAAGGATTACATAGAGAATGGATGTCAGCATCAACAAGTCCTTTCTGGCTTAACACCAGTTTTATTACAAAATTCGAATATCAGACAAAACTAAATTCAATTAAATTGTTTCTTTCTTAGATGGAAAAACGTCAATCATATTCCCAGGTCGAGAAATACGGATCGCTTCCAGCCAGAAAGTTTCGGGAAATAATCGGAGCTGAGAAGTAGAAATCCGGTACCTGGCTCTACCCAGTTCTCACGGAACCAGAAACATTTGGTTAGCAGATTCGATCGTCGAATTTCTGCTTCCAAACTTCGACCATTTCTCGGAACTTTCTGGTCGAAAACTAATATTCTCTTATCAATTACTAATGAACGGTCATTATCTGATTCATTGGGGATGTAAGAGTATACTGACATCGCTAAATATTTCAAAGAACTCACGCCATTTACCTTTTAGAATATACTTGGTATTTAGTACGATTACGTTGTTTTGACGAAAGAAACAAACTCGATTGCATTCTCAAATCTTACCATCTTTGGTTTTCTAAAAAGATAAAGTTGACGATGAAGAATTGGTTTAAATAAGAGATTTAGTGCTATTTCTTTAAATAGGCAATGCGATTGTTCGAAAATATCACAGAAAAATATTCGCTCAATCAGACATAGTACCTGAAGAAAAAGAGTGAAAAATTTCAAAATTTTTCTGTAAAACATCATTTCAAAAAACAAAAAACTACATTAGTCACAAAAAATGCCGCACCCAGATGCCTTAATCAGTTGATGTATAATGGAATTAGTAGCACAATCGTATCATAATCTTGTAAAGACTGTATCTCAACGATTTTTCGATGTTCAACTTCGTGCGACCCCTTATTTAAAAACCCAACATCGGTGCTATCTGTTGTGAAAGTTTGATAAAAAATCATTTTAAATTAATGAAGATAAGCTCTTCATATTGAAAACGCCTACCAAAATGGTTAGTGTTAGTTTTCAATCTAATGTCAAATAACTCAACTTAACCTTCACTGATTCAATTGAAAATTTTAGCCAGGAGTTCGCATGAATCTAGCACATCGTAGTAAAATTTTTAGAACTGTAGCTCAAAGTAAAGTCGAGATAGAATTATCAAAAGACTTCATCATGGCACAGCTTGCCAATCAATCAGATCTCGATATTATGGAGTAAACTTTTGACTCAGTAAACTAGACATAGGGAACTGCATTAAGCACTAAAAAGAACCAATCTTAAATAAATTGTAGTACCGTAAAACTACAATCAAAAGTATTCTGACATCACATTTTTTGGTTATGATCTGTATAAGGACGATGATATGATTGAGCTACTAATCCCGTTATACACCAACTAATCGAGATCCAGCTGGTGCCTGCGATCAGAGTTCATTGAGTTCTATCTACGATCAAAATATGAGCCTAAATGATTGGGATTTAAATACTTTTCACCCAGATGTGGCACTTTTTGTGACTACTGCATCTGCTATTTTTAAGTTATTAAAGCTAATTCTCATCCATGATGAGTGAGTTTTAGATATTGTTTAAGTTGATAGAAAGCTTTTCTTAAAGATTAAATACTCACTGGATTCGTTCTAAAATTGACAGGGTGGGTAAGGGTGTGGGTTTATATTAGTTTCATCCACATCCACACACACTCACACCCCACTCGCACCCTCCTTTCAGAGTTTGTTTTGATCTGTAATCTGACCACTTATTTTCTGTGAAAAGAGTTGTAATCATGCTTCGACCAATTTACATAAAGATGAACTCAAAAGTTATCTGAAAGTTCAGTGAAAACATCACAAAGCCCTGCACATCTATGTATAGATAATGAAAAAAATTTACCGAATTCAGTTAGAAACAGAAAAATGAAATTAGCTTCTAAGGAGTAACAAATAAATCAACGTCCTTCAAAAATAAAAGTATTAAAACTTTTTTCAGGATACCGTGTGTAATACTTATAGTGATTGGCAAGTAACATTTGACTGTTGTCTTTCTTCTTTTATTTTATGAAGAAAATTTGAGGACTAATCAATAGTTAGATAATAAATATAAAAAATTGTTATATTTATTTTATTTAGACAACTTTTGAATATTACAAAAAAAAGGTACACACCTGCTCAGTAAAAAAATGCTTGAATTGTTATCGGGATATCATGTAACAAAATTAAAATTATAACTGATGTAAGAAATTTCAAACCATTTTTACTCTTCAAAATTTTCCAAATCGATATAATTTTGATTTTGTTGAATAATAATCTTACAATGATCAGAAAATCTTCATTGGAGTAGATAATTAATAAACGAAAATTTAAAGTTATAAACTCAGTATATCGTCAAACTCGAGTAAATGTAAAGAAAAAAATATGTCAGAACAATCCTTGCAAGACAAAAATGTAAAACACAATCGAAAAGGCGTGTTGTTAAGGTGGGTGTGTAGGTGTAGATCTGTTATTCATTCCCACCCACACCCACACCCTTTCTCGTCAAATGCGAATAATATCAGACTCTTTTTCTTCTGATAGGCTTTATGTTTATTGTAATATATTTTCTTTTATCAACAACATGTTTTTTTGTGTCTTGTCTTTTTCTTTCTACACGCATCTATTTTTGACGGTCAAAGAACAGAAAAAATAATATTCTGTATTATTCATCGTTTTTCTCTAGACATGACTAAGCTACTTCATGTGACCAATATTAATTTAACATACTGGAGCTCATTAGTCATTATCGCTTTTTTTAACTATTAACTCGTGATATCTTTTTCTATAAAGACAAATCTATTGCATCATAAATCACAACAACAATTTTAATGACATAATTTTTCTAAGTCAACTTTATTCAACAGTTTGACATATCATTTTGCTCTTTATTTTAAACATTAGATTCAATGCTTGTTTAGAAAGAAAAAAGAAATATTGTAAACTAAACTTCCAATAAAACTGTTATACATTCTATGAATTGATTTCTGCAATTTTTTTTCAAAAGTGCAACCTAGAATTCAAACAGAATCAAATATTTGGAATTAATTACATTGAGTTTTTTTCTATCGAAAATGTCTAATCTGATATCAATGATAAACATGCTGCTTATGAAAGCTAGAAACTTTCAATATGTTTTTCATATATATTCATACTTCAAATGGCACAAACTCGAGGGTATGAATGCGAGTGTAGGTGTGTGGGGTTGATATGTGAAGTGGGTGTGGGCTGTGGGTGCGGATGTGGGTGTGGACGTGAGTGTGGATGTCCATCGCCCGTTCAGCAAAACCTACATTCACAAGCAGACCCATCCACACCCACACCCACACCCACATCCGCATCCACATCCACACCCGCACGCACACCCACACCGACACCCACACCCACACCGACACCCACACCCCATACACCACACCCCATGCCCACATTCACACCCACCCCACACACCCACACCCACACCCACCCACACCCACACCCCACACCCACACCCACACCCAAACCCTCACCCACACCCACACCCACACCCACACCCTTATTCAAACATTACTTGAAAATTCAGACATTGATTCAGATTGACGTTCAACTAGTCGTCTAAATTTATTAGATTTAGCATTTAGACGTTTTGAAAATTTTCCTTTTTTTTTAAATTAATTAATATTGAATAAATATGTCTATATATGATT